GAACCTGATATATTTGCTTAACCATATTTTCATCCTGGTTGATAGTTGAAAATGAGATGAAAATTTGAACCGCGGCCAAAATTCGAACAAGCTACTTCCGGGTTTTAGGCCCGATACTCTACCAACTGAGCTATAAAGTCCATTTTGCTAGACCACGGCCGCACCTTGTGGATAAGTCGGTAGAGCATCGGACCGGAAACCCGGTGGTCGCTGGCCTGAATCCGGCTGTAGTCTAAATTTTCATCTCACCTTCATTCATCATCCAGTATAAATACTAGTCAGCCAAACTACAGCCATCTCAGATAGTCAAATGATAACTATATTTTTGTTATGAACTGTTGTTAACATCTTTTTGAACAACTGATCTATGTGCAGGAAACTGACTGTTATGCAGAAATGATATGGTCCTGGAGACTGTTGATTCAATAAGTGCCCTATAACTGTTTATATGATCTAGCCAAATGTATTCCGATTTCATGGTTAGTCCATTGACCTGAACCTTTGGTTCAAACTTATGAATACAATAAAATTAACGACATAGCCTGAAACTTTTCTGAGCTGACGAGATCGACTGAGTTTGTATGGTAAACTATCCTCCAAGCTCGACCTAAGAATGTTATGGTCTTATATTTTAAACATACCTAAATAAAGAGTTATGAACAGCCACAAATCAGATATACAACGAGGTTTATTTCATATATTACAAAAGCATTGAGAAAAGGCTTTGTGAATTCTAATAAAAGGTTTGTGGGATTTAGAGATTTTGTCTAGCTAGTATTCGGCATTGACTGACATCTGTTAAAACAGGAGTAGGACAAGGCTGTCTACTATCACCCATAATCTTCCTCATTGTGGTGGACTGGATCATGAAGCAAACCGGAAGGAACGAGAAGATGAGCATACGCTGTTTGGGCGATGAAAAGAGCTCAGAAGATTTCGATTTCGCCGATAACTTGTGTCTAATGTCACACGAACTCCAAGATCTACAGGCGAAAACCAACAAGTTGACAGAAGAAGAAGAGTGGCGAAAATGGGACTTCAAGTGAATGTAGAGAAGACAGAGGTGATGAAGATATCCAACCAACAACAGCATCAACAACAAGCACCGATCACCATCAACAGGAGAAACTTAAAGGAAGTAGTCTGTTTAACCTACACCTACCTAGCCAGCATCGTTTCAACTACAGGTGACGGCACAAGCACAGACGAGGATGTCAAAACCAGCCAGTATCGGAAAAGCAAGACAGGCTTTCATGAATTTGAAATCAGTGTGAAGATCTACTGCACTCTGCATAAAGAGTGAAGAAGATCCTGATTTCCAACACCAATGTCAGTCAAGTGAGTGCTTTTATATGGTTCAGAAACGTGGCGTGTCATGAAAAGCATTTTCAACAGACTACGAATATTCATCAACAGCAGTCACCTACGCTCGCTCACTCGATACTGAAGATGAGATAAGATGACGAGAAAGAATAAGCAAGGAGGAAGTCTGTCGGCTGGCAACGAACCAATCAAAAACCCATAGCCCAATAGATATACAGAGGAGAGTTGAGATGGATTGTGGATACAGTGAGAAGGCCGACTGGGAACATCATGTGGCAGGCCAGACCATCGAGTTGAAGTCAGAGGGAAAATGCCGAGTTGGTTGTCCAAGGTGTGGGTAACATGGGGGAGATCAAGCAGAGAGGAAATGAAAGCTTCTGGGTAGGCAATCGTGGAGCGAGTTTCAAAAGACTGCAGAGGAGGTAGTGAAATGGTGGAGGGGTACTTAATTCCTATGTTGAACTAGGAATCCAAGGTACGAAAAGTAATAATAATTGTAATGGAATGACATCAATTGGAGAAACGTTGGAAATCTAGGAGCGCTGGACAGCTGTTTCGTTCTAGTATGGGACTACTTAACAATGCGTAACCACGGGGAAAAAACCTCCAAACTCCGTGGCCAGCACTTTACCATTGACCCAATGGGTTGGAATCTAATAGTCCATACTTCTAATTTCTGTCAGTGCACGACATATTGCGACCGTTACCCAATGTCATCTTTGAACATTTGTTTTCATGGCCACTAGGTTCGCCCTACGGATTATGACTTCCTACTGGAATTTCGGTAATCACCCCTCAAATCTAGTCATCAATGAGCACTAGATGAATAGAATTTGTGGGCTCATGGGTATGCACTGCTGAGCAGTCATATAATAGAATGAAGCAGCTGTCCAGAGCTTATTAGGTTTCCAATGTTTTCTTCAACTGATATCAGTCCACGATGAATATCAACTAGAAAAATGGTTGATTGTCAAGTTTTTGTGATAATTTACCATTCTTTTAGTAATCAACCTTAAGCTGTTAACTGAAGAAAAGTGACATTTAGAGATGGGTAGAATGGATCCAAACTAAACATAGGGAATGAATACGTCTAAAATTAAACATTTAAGCATATTTTTATGGTAGATAGGAAAACTTTTGTGAATTTTTAAAAAAATTAGGCAGATGAGTTAAATTTTCATAACATATATTCTAGTTTCAAAGTTTAAAAAGGACTAGTGGTGGTTATCAAAGGGAACATTCAGAATGTCAATTCTCATATCTAAAAGGGTTGCCAGATCTTTTTAATTATAAATTTTATATATATTACCTCAGAATTCTAAAATACTTTAACGAATTAATTGTTTTCGGATAATAATAGAAGTTTGATTAATCCTTATAAATCATGTATTAAAAAACGATACAGTACAGTATATAGTGAATTGTGGCTAGGAGAAGAATTCAGAATACGCGTTCCATCCAACTTAACACTCATCAACTGGATATTATACATGCAACCATGTCCACAGTGATGTTGTTCACATTGACACTCAAAACTCATACACATCACACCAAACACCAACGCATTATCCATTATATCATGGAAGAATGACAACCACTTCTTATACAACTGGTAGTAGTTATTACTATTTATCATCGATATACTTGTAATTCTCCGTTTTCTGTATCAGATCGAATTGTTCAACCTTCATTTACATATTGCCTTCAATGTGGATGCCTCGATATTGCCTGAATTTCAGTTATGGCAATTTGGTTGATTGATGCTAGGAGAGGAAACCAGGACACACGTACAAGTAGTTTCTATCGTGCCTCCATGATATAGTGGATAACGCGTTGGTGTTTGGTGTGATGTGTACGAGATTTGAGTCTCAATGTGAACAATATCACTGTGCACTTGGGTGCATGTACATTCAGCAGATGATTGTTAAATAGATCAAAACATGCATCCTGGATACCTCTGTTAGCTACAACCAACCAAACTAACATGAATAACATTCAGAGAATATCGAGGCATCCACACAGGAGCCCATATGCCAAAAAAAGTCAAACAATCCGATCCAATAAAACAATGAAGAATGATATGTATGTCAAGAAATAGTAACGACTTTATTTATTCCGTTTATTCCAGCGCTATTCATCAGCAGCGTTGCATTGAATGGCTTCATGATAAAACTAGTAATTCCAGTACTGAGTTTGATGGGATCTATTTTGCAAGATGAAAATCCACTTGTTCATGGTGTTCATGAAAGTAGAAATGTAAAACTTCAACTATCTGTAGAATGTTTACCAACAATTAGCATTCACTACAAATTACTTCGAAACACTATTGATACGAAGGAAGAGGTAACCAGTGTTATTTACACATAATGAACTTGCTTACTGAAAACATTCATCATAATATAAAATCTGTGGAATTTAGTAGGATGTTTTCAAGCGAGATATTGCTGCTCATTGGAACATATTCCAGCGTAGAAGCCTTTGTTGTGATAAATAAACAGTCTTTCGGAATTCTTTATGAAAACTCATTTCCTTGAATCCTTAAAGAATCTTTAAAAGAAAGGAGGTCTTTTCAAGTAGTACTTGATGGGCAAAGACAAAAAATTGTGATTACAGTGAGGAAAACATCTCTTTCTTTCCAAAGAATTCATTCACTAAACTATACACTCATAAATATATGTTACAGTGGTCAGAACATTCCATGGTTATTTCGCAACAGGAGGCCAAAACATACTAAACAACGAAGAGATGTTAATCAATATAAACAAGAGATTATGGAAATAAGAACGTAATTACTCATTACAGGGTAAACCTAAGACATTCAAGGCTTTGTAACAGCCACGGGAAGAAAAAGGTTGAACGAAAGCTTTTGGGACACAATGCTATTTTAACTTCAGCTATACCCATATGCTTTTGACTGGTTCGATCGAACCCTGTAAAAGGCTTTTGAATGAATTTTCAAACGTAGATGAGTGGCCTGGGTTCACCAGATTTTCTTTTCCTTACTTGAATATGTCTTTCTGTTCTGCTCTTATTAGGGAGGATGAATAGTGACACTCAAAACTCATACACATCACACCAAACGACAACGCATTATCCATTATATCATGGAGGAACGACAACCACTTCTTATACAACTGGTAGTAGTTATTACTATTTATTATCGATATACTTGTAATTCTCCGTTTTTTGTATTCGATCGAATTGTTCAACCTTTATTTACATATTGTCTTCAATATGGATGCCTAGATATTGCCTAAGTATTATTCAAGTTAATTTGTTTAATCTTGGCTAGGAGAGAAATCCAGGATGCTCACCTTATCCTATTTGCGACTCATCAAATTACCATAATTAACATTCAGGGAATATTGAAGCATCCACATAGGAGTCCATATGCCAGTAGAGGTCGAATAGTTCAATCCAATAAAACAATAGAGAATTAAAAGTATATCAATAAATTATGTATAACTTTGGAAAAAATATATTATATTTAGTATATATTTTGTTTTTTCTACATTTTTTTTATCACTACACTGTCCATCAACAGTAGGAATAAATTTTGTAGCTTTTGTAACCTCGTAAGACCATTCAGAGTGTTGCTAATTAGAGAAAAAAGGGTACACATATCAACTTGAAATTTCCTTCTATATGTAGAAATGTTATAAAATGTATATACTTACGTAATAGTTCCAAAGTTAGAAAATGCTGCGAATAAAGTTTCATCTTGTACTTCTGGGCTAAGTCACCAACAAATATATGAAATGAATCTAAAATGAAACAGACAAAAGCATTGAACTAACAGATAAGAAATTAAATAAGGTGATATAATTTACTAACCTTGCCTAATTAACTAGTTCATTAGTTATTAGGCGGTCCTAAGCCTTGGTAAAGAGGGAATGTTGGGTATAGGGCTAGCAACCCTAAACACCGTATAACTAATCCAACCGCTACAAAAAACTTCAAAGTATACATGAAATATAAAACATAAAAAACAAACTTATTCCTCTCTGGAATCGAAGAGACGAAATAACGCCGAGCGGTGAAAGCATTCGGGAAGCCAATTGGCCAGTGTGTCTTCTCTTCACTTGATGGCAAAGAAAGTAAGAATGGGGATATACTACTGAAGCCCTATGTTCCAGTAGGAACCCAAGGGACAAATAATAATAATAATGATAATAATATATAATTTGCTAATGAATTTAATTATTTCAGAGTAAGTTTATTTTAGTTCCATATTACATTTGTTTATTTGATATAAAGCGCACAGTGATACAGTATTATTTAATTGATTACAAATACAAATAATAGTGACAACATAAGTAGAAAGGAAATCAACACTTCTATTGTGATACCATACAAGGAAGGAACATCAGAAACCATATGTAGGATTGTCAACAAGGTTGGAATTAGGGTGGCATTTAAACCAACAAACTCACTTAGAGGTAAGCTTTGTCGGCTGGCTTAAGGATCCGATAGAACCAATTAAGCAAAATAATATAATCTACCAAATTCCATGTAATGACTGTGAAGTCAAATACATAGGTGAAACTAGTCGGTCGGTGTCAGTTAGATTAACAGAACATAGGAATTTAGCTAAACATAGAACGGCAGACCCCAATAAGATCAATAACCTAGAAAAACACTCGGCCATTGCATTACATTCATTCATTAACACACAACCACACAATAGGATGGGACAAAACCACTGTACTTAAGTCTAATATAGCTAGGTGGACATTGAGAGAGAGAGAGAGATTAATTACTGAATCTTTGTTCATCCAATCTACACCCAACACATGTGGAATAGGAATGACGCAACACCTATACCAGAGATATGGAGAACTTTACTACCATTCAAAAAACAAAGTTAGATCAGGTGACAGGACTATAAAATCAGATATGGAAAGAAGTGTGATTACATTGATATAATTATGAGCAGTAATAATTTATAGTCGAAATGTAATCAATTAAATAATACTGTATCACTGTGCGCTTTATATCAAATAAACAAATCTAATATGGAACTACATTCTACTACAGTGCCCAAGTTTTTCACTTATATTAAGTTTATTTTAATTAGTTGGATGTGAAATTCTTAAGTTATAGCCTGAATATAGCCTATTATGATTTCATGAAGATTAATTTTCAACTTGTACAAAGTAACTACTAATATGAACAGAGTCGTGAATAAAATCCACGACAATGTAAACATTTAGTTGATTTTGTAGACATGATTTTCAATTTGAAAGAAGCGCCGATAAGCATTGAAACAAGAGAAAATGGATAGTTTAAATAAATAAGAGTGAAGTAATCAACATTTAAAGTTGGCTGAAGGAATAACTTTATTGTCGAATATCTGTACGTTTAACAATTCGCTTGTCTTTTTATAAAGCTATGATAATGGAATAATTCAATTATCCAATAAGGAATCATGCTTATCAGATATGATTATAAAGTAAATAATGATATTAATTTTTCCAGAGCAGACTCCTTTTCCATTGAAACATTGAACCGAATAAATTATAACGTCACACAGGTGATATTAACTGTCTGTATAATTGCTTAATAATACCTTCAGAAGGCAGTAAACGATTCATAATGCTTGATATATACCACTAAGCCTGAATAATTAAATATTTAACTCTTACGATTATACGTTTTATCGCGTAATACATAGAAAAACAGTTGCACAAAAGAAAAATTTTCTGTTCTACGAAGCTATTTACTTAGCTTTACATTCTTGAATATATATTACACTGGGTAGAACATCCTAGACTTATTTCCTTTTAGGGGGGAAAACTAATACAAATGAGGATTTAGAGTAGGAAAATAAACAGGGGGATCAGGAAATAAAAATGTTATTACGTAATGCGAGATAAATCTATGACAGGTTAGGAGAATAAAGGGAGAACTGAAAAATCTTCGACAAACTCATGTACGAGACCATTTTCTGCCTAGATTCATAGATAAGAACTTAAAGTCAAAAAACCTAAGTGAACGAACACATTTTCCTAAATCTTGAGTCACAAAATGACATTGTTGCAGAGATCCTCAAAAAAAACAGTTGTCATGATCCTTAAATATAAAATCGCCTTAAACCTTGGAATCATTTTCTCCTGCACAAAACCTTCAATGTCCGAAAGACAAGGTGACGTATTGGAACACATCACAAAGTGTATACCAGTTTACTTACTCCTGCATAATGGATCCGCACTTGCTCACGAACACTATTCATCCTCCCTAATAAGAGCAGAACAGAAAGGCATCTTCAAGTAAGGAAAAGAAAATCTGGTGAACCCAGGCCACTCATCTACCCTTGAGAATTCATTCAAAAGCCTTTTACAGGGTTCGATCGAACCAGTCAAAAGCATATGGGTATAGCTGAAGTTAAAATAGCGTTGTTTCCCAAAAACTTTCGTTCAACCTTTTTCTTCCCGTGGCCGTCACAAAGCCTTGAATGTCAATAGGTTTACCCTGTAATGAGTAATTACGTTCTTATTTCCATAATCTCTTGTTTATATTGATTAACATCTCTTCGTTGTTTAGTATATTTTGGCCTCCTGTTGCAAAATAACCATGGAATGTTCTGACCACTGTAATATATATTTATGTGTATAGTTTAGTGAATGAATTCATTGGAAAGAAAGAGATGTTTTCCTCACTGTAATCACAATTTTTTGTCTTTGCCCATCAAGTACTACTTGAAAAGACCTCCTTTCTTTTAAAGATTCTTTAAGGATTTAAGGAAATGAGTTTTCATAAAGAATTCCGAAAGACTGTTTATTTATCACAACAAAGGCTTCTACGCTGGAATATGTTCCAATGAGCAGCAATATCTCACTTGAAAACATCCTACTAAATTCCACAGATTTTATATTATGATGAATGTTTTCAGTAAGCAAGTTCATTATGTGTAAATAACACTGGTTACCTCTTCCTTCGTATCAATAGTGTTTCGAAGTAATTTGTAGTGAATGCTAATTGTTGGTAAACATTCTACAGATAGTTGAAGTTTTACATTTCTACTTTCATGAACATCATGAACAAGTAGATTTTCATCTTGCAAAATAGATCCCATCAAACTCAGTACTGGAATTACTAGTTTTATCATGAAGCCATTCAATGCAACGCTGCTGATGAATAGCGCTGGAATAAACGGAATAAATAAAGTCGTTACTATTTCTTGACATACATATCATTCTTCATTGTTTTATTGGATCGGATTGTTCGACTTTTTTTGGCATATGGGCTCCTGTGTGGATGCCTCGATATTCTCTGAATGTTATTCATGTTAGTTTGGTTGGTTGTAGCTAACAGAGGGATCCAGGATGCATGTTTTGATCTATTTAACACTCATCTGCTGAATGTACATGCACCCAAGTGCACAGTGATATTGTTCATATTGAGACTCAAATCTCATACACATCACAACAAACACCAACGCGTTATCCACTATATCATGGAGGCACGATAGCCACCACTTGTATGCGCGTCTTGGTTTCCTCTCCTACCATCAATCAACCAAATTGCCATAATTAACATTCAAGCAATATCGAGGCATCCATATTGAAGGCAATATGTAAATGAAGGTTGAACAATTCGATCTAATACAGAAAACGGAGAATTACAAGTATATCAATGATAAATAGTAATAACTACTACCAGTTGTATAAGAAGTGGCTGTCATTCTTCCATGATATAATGGATAATGCTTTGGCGTTTGGTGTGATGTGTATGAGTTTTGAGTGTCAATGTGAACAACATCACTGTGGACATGGTTGCATGTATAATATCCAGTTGATGAGTGTTAAGTTGGATGGAACGCGTATTCTGAGTTCTTCTGCTAGCCACAACCAAACAAATTATAAAAATAAAGTCATTGTTTACCGATATATTATGCTTTGCAAGAAAGCATCGGTTTAAACAAACCTTGTATGCTTCAAAATTTTATGGTAATCTGACTTCGTAATTCGGTCCCCTAATATCATTGCCTCAGGTCAACTTAACAGAGGCAACAAATTACGTTTTCAATAATAAATCATTAATTTAATCATTACTATCCTAAGTGACTAACAGAACAGCCTGATAACAATGAATATCGTATAAATTCACACATGGAAACTAAGCGTTAACTATGTAAATCATTTCCATGAGAATTGTTTACCATATATGCATTTCATTGAACTAAATCGCATTCCATTTGAAGGCATTTACACGGAATGCTAAAGTTACTAAGGCTTGAAAGTATTTATTAGAGAATTACCATGTTCTTCCTGGACTTCGTGATCCTTCTGGAGACATAGAAATGATGGCTTCACACCTTTCGGTTTCTTAGAATGAAATGTTCGACTTATACATGAATTTCGTGAAAATTCCGCTGAAAGTTAATGGATATGAACTAGGATAACTGTCGAACATATTATACAATTATTAACATTGGCCGAGTGAGACTGAAGAAGTCAGTCAAACATCCAACAACTGGCCACATGTGTGTGCGTATATCAGTTAACCTGCTTATATGAAACCGGGTCCTACTACAAAGGGTTCAAGAACACTATCCTGCACGGATACAAAAACATGACAGCATCAAAATGAGAATTCTGATGATGATAGAGAATCTTTATGGCTCAGAAGGATGAACCAAAACTCGCTGATCGCCGATATCTGGACTAATTCCACAAGCAGTAATGAAAAGACTGCAAACTGTGGTATTACAGTTGGTCAAACCATACTTTGAATCCGACAAGTAGATGACACAATTGTTATC